CCAGCGGTTTTTCCGTGATGCGGTAACAGACAGACAGACAGACAGACAAAAATTCTACAAGCTATTGATTCGGTCTTTGTATCGAATTAATGTCTATTTTAATAAAAAATTTCAAAAAATATCTAATGTACAGATTCTGCTTAGTTAGAATTTTATAATATGTATGTATAGATTTAATCATACCAGTGTTCGCGTGGTGGTCAAATTTCACAAATAATCATAATTAAAAATTTGAGGAAAATATTTTAATTTAAAATTGTTTCCAACATTTTTTTATTGATAGCACTAAAGTTCTTCAATTAACAGCTATTGAAATATAGCTAAAGCAAAAAAAACAGACAACCGGTTGACAAACAGTGGAAAAAAAGGTACTGAGCTGTTTTGTGTGTATTCTATTAATTGTTTATATGTAGATAATATATAAATATTTAAGAAAATCCATTAAAAATTAATTCGCCATACAAACTTTAATCCCCATTTTCACGCCTTTAAGACATGATTTCCGGTATAAAAAGTATCCTATGTCCTTCCCAGGGTCCCAAACTATCTTTTTACCAAACTTCATCTCACATCGTTTCAGTAGATCCATAGATTACCCGCTACAACGTCACAAACTTTCCCTCTTTATAATATTAGGATAGATGTTTTTAGTTCACATTTTGATTTAACAATTTCATTTCTCTGTAACTATGCCGAGGTTCCGTGACTACGGTACATATCGGTTGAGCGTTTCCACTTACAGACTTCCTGGCCAACCACTGCTAACCACTTCTATTTAACAATAACGTAACGTTTGAAAATATTCCTATGATTAATTGAAACAATTAATTACAGTAACTAAACGAAATTAAATAAAACTATTAGTGAAATGGAATTGTGATTATAAATTAGATTTTTGTAAGAGATATTTAAATACATATTTGCAAGAAAACAGTCATTATTTTTACATCTTGTTTTATTTAAAACGAATAATTGCATAACACTTTTTTTAGATTTACGCGAAAATTTGACATTTTTAATAAAACTATCTTTTCGGTTTTTTTCGCAGGTTTATTTGGATTTTTGGTTCCCGAAGTTTTGAATGCTTTACAGCAATCATCTATCTAACGGCACCGAACGAAACCGAATCTACAGACTGTTATTGACGAACTTTGAAAAAATATGAGTTTTGTTGTATATACTACGCGATATTGTAGCCAATCAATCAATCTATAACTCTTTTTCAAAGAATATAATCCCAATAGAAGTCCTGGCAGATTTAACTCTATATAATATGTATATATCTGTGATGATTAAGTTTAATAAAATCCATCCCTATAGGTGTTATAATTATTTTTGAAATGACTTTGAAGTCGGTGTACTTCTTTAGTTAAAAAGTTATTATTAGAATTTATGTAATAATGTCTGTTTAATCGTGCATCACTCAAAATGGCGGTTTTTTTGTACAAGAATAATCTAAATTAAAATTTAAACATAGCTAGCTTTTAATTCAATGGATCTAGTAAATTTAAATACTTACAGATAATTCACGACACCACATTAAGTGTGATTGTGACATAAATTCATAGACAAGCAAAACTGCGGGTAACATCTAGTTTGCTATAAAGCTTCACCAAAACTTTATTTTTCTAGTTCTGATGGCTAGAATGTGGCTAAAATCGATGTAATATGAATATAAAAATCAGCAAATAAGGAAATTCAAACGTATGCACATATTGAGTATCAATTTATGGAAATTGAATGCCTCAAAATTGGGGCAAAGGATTGTAGGCAGGAAGTTGGAACTAGCAACTCGCTTTGTTCTCCGTCATATCGTTGTGTACGAATATAAATAAATACAATTTGGCCAAATAGAGAAGATGCATACAATAATCGATAAAATACAAAATTATTTTGTATCCCCTAACTTTAATTTTGTGACTTTTCAATTTAAACCCTCCCTTATATAATATTGATTTGAATAAAATCTAATAATGAATGCATGCATCACTTGGGAGCGGCTCGAACAAATTGGCCGATATCTTTTTCGCTGTGTTTGTAATAGTCAGGACAAAATTTGTAAAACATAAATTATTTTTAAAATGCATAGGGAACAGTCGGAAATTCGGATGGTATTTTATAATAAAAATCTCAATTCTATAGAATGTGATTTTTGCCAGCTCTGCTTCTAAATTATATATTAAATGTACAGACCATGATATCTTCATGATTTTCTTAGAATTACTAACGTAGCTTTTGTTCTTTATATTACAAAATTAAGGCCTTCCTTTTGAAAAAAAGAGTTTTTTAATATCTCTTGTGGCCAATACTCATAATCATACTCAATAGAATAAATGTGAAAGTTATTCTATCTGTCAATTAATGAACAAACTTCGAACGAATTTTGAGAAGGATATGAAGTATGTAACACGACAGATGGATCTAAGCTGGCAGGCGAGTCGAGGACCTCAATACCTATCAATGTACCACATTTATGTTCAGCGATTTTTAGTGGTAAAAAGTTATTTGGATTTTAATCCCTCCACGACCGCGGACACGCCGGCGTGTCAGTCAACAATAGATTTCTTAGAATTCTAATTAATTTCTTAGTAATTTACTTGGAGGTGTTAAAAAAAATAAAAGGCGGAGATCAGATTTTAGAGAGAAATTCGCAAATACAACCGAAATATCGTATAGTAATCATTTTAGCATCTGACCTATTGAAATATTTTTTTTCTAACGAATCCTTGATTCTAGATATAATAAATGAAATTTACAAATTATATTTCATCATGGGGATGGTCACAGACCTCTCATCCGTATATACGTGCATCCACATATACCATGCAAGCAGAGCTGCGAGCAAAAACTGGTATCAATAATAACCACACGAATTTAGATCGAAATCCACAGAGTACTTTCCGCCATACTAACAGGATTTTCAAATAAATTCTATTCACAGGGAACCTTTTCATGTCCTGAAATAAAAAGCTTGCGAACATCCGAACGCCGACTATCTCTAACCCAAATTTCATTTTCAAAAAGTCAAGTATTTTTTCACCATTTAAAATATTTGTAAACCCATTATATAGACATAGATAGATAGATAGATATTTCTATAGAAAATGAAGTGGAAATAAATCGAATTTTTGATTCAATATCAATGATGAAAGTATGAATGAAATGAATAAAACACTGTATCTTCACAAGGCCGTTGTATAAATCATTTGATTTATATTTTGAATAATATTTTTCCTTAAACATAAATAAAGATAACATATTTTATATAGAAAGCAAACCATTTATTTGGATTAAGTGCTTATCTCGTTTTCTTGAACCATTTAATATCAGTATCTATTTGTAGCATCCTTTATTTTATTTTCAAGGGAAATAATCCTTAATTTGTTAGTTCTATAAAACATCTACTTAAATTATTTGGAGTCAAATTTGTAAGAAAAACAATGAATACGACAAAATAAAAATTATATATTGGTAAAATATTTCAAGCCATTTATTAGACTTAGCCATATAAATTTCAAACCTAATAAATTATTATTTTCATAACATTATTAGATAATCTATGAAAACATATAACATGTAAATAGGTTTTCTATAAATAAAATTATAACTTCAGGAGCTTTAAGTAAAGTATCTTGTATTAAAATTAGATTATTAAAAGAAAAAATAACAGAGAAAATATTTTAAGAACTTTTAATTACGATACGATAAAGAAGTACTATATTAAATCATATTTACGAACTAGCGACTCAACCTCGCTCCGCTCGGGTTCGTCCCTAGTTACGTTTTAACGTTTTGTATAGATTTCTCAGAGATGAGATATTTTCCCGGTAAAAAGTATCCCGTATCTATGTTAACCCGGATAACCAGCTATCATCATACCAAATTTCATCAAAATCTGTCCAGTGATTTTCTCGTGATACGTTCCCAGACAGACAGACAAAAATTTTAAAATATAAATTCCGCCTCTGTATCGTATACGATAATAATATTATTTCAATAAGAATTTCCAAAACATATTTAATAAACAGATTCGACTCAGAAATTTCTTAGGTATATGTACAGATATTATAATGTTAATTTTAAATTTTAACTTTAGAATGGGACAGAATCTAAGCGACATTCGAGATAATGAATTCAAAAGAGTAAAAGAAATGAAGAGGATTTGTATAATTTAGTCTGAAACGAAATAAACTTTAAGTTAATAAGCGGCAGTGAGAGCTAATACAAATTTTTGTCGAAATTTCTAATTCCTTAAGCGTCGGGCACCATTAATTAGGGTAAGAAGTCGTTAGAGGCGATTAAAAAAGTAAAGTGGCTGGTTGGAATATAAAATTGTCGAATGAATAAAAAAGTTTGTTTATTCAACAGTATTAAGTAGTTTTCATAATTAAATAAATATAATACGTTTGATATACAACTTTAATAATGATAAACGAACTAAATTGTCAAAGCTGGTACCACACTCCGCTGAAAAAAATTTACAAGTAGAATAAATATGGATATAAAAAAATATGCGTGTTTTGTAAACACACAGTGTTCGAAAAGCTCTAAACGTCAATTAAAAATTATAAAGGTAACCGTTTCTAGCCGCAAACAAATCAAGTGTCGCCGCGCAGTTTTAAGGTCAACCAGCACTTTTGTACTATAAGGTTAAAAAGACCGCGCCCGCAGTCTGCGGATTAACCTATTAAAAAGGAAAGCCACTACTAACTTCCCCGACACGCTTAGCCAGATACACTATTTACTTCGGTTGCAATATAAACACGAATGCGCTGGCAAGCCGAGAATGATAAACACTGATCGATTTCGATGTGTGCTATTTGTTTTTCTTGCGTGTCAAAGGAGATTCGGATGATTTTTTTTGTGTTTTCGCGACTTACGCAACGTGGGCACGTGGATAGGGCGCGTTCGGCGGTCGTTTTCGGGTGCGTTTTCGATTTCAACGTTCGAGGGGAGTCCGTACGTTGGTTGCAGTAGCACGATTATTTACGGGAGTCCTATAAGGCAGCGTGCGAGTCGCCGCCGGGTCGGGCGCCCGCGAAAGCGATGTGCGGCGGGCAGCGCGGCCGGAGCGGGACTGGGCCGCCGGCCGGCGCGCCTGCGTGCCACCGTCTCCACCCCCGATTGATGTAATATTTATCTTGGATTAAGAACTAGATAAGAAGCTAGCGAGACATGCCGGGATGATTCGACGATGAATTTTATTTTGGTTAGCTTTGGTTAGATTGGAAAAAAAAGATGTTTTGAAGACATCGAACCAAAAATCATAAGAGATCGGTTTTTTTCTATATACTAATAATAAAATTATGTTGAAATAATAAAGATATTTGATTAGCAATTGGTATACTGTCGGTGGATCAATCCAATGTAGCCGGTTGGCCGTGTCGGGCGGCCCCGGCGGTGGTCGGGCGCGGTCGCGTGACGTCACCGTGGGACGCACGCGCGGCGACAGGTGGGCGCAATGCGCCGCACCTATCATATGATTATGACGTTTCCTATCGGATTCACTGGCGGGAGCGGGTGGAAATTGGTCGAAGATGAATTCACCGAGTGCCGCTAAGTTGTGACGGAGAAAGCTGTTGAAACATGCCTTAAATATTTTTTTAATAAAAATAAATAATTTAATAGCATAGTAGAATATTTAAGTAGATTTATAGAATATTTAAGCCATAAGTATATTTTAATATATTTTAAGTATAATTCAATGTTTTATAATTTAGTGGTTAATACCTGGCTTTCACGATATAAAGGAAAATAATGAAGACACAATTAGTAAACATTACAAAATCCTTCTATATTTTCTAAACACTGCAGATTAAAAAAAATAAACACTATATAGTACAGTATCGTCCTAAAACCTAAAACGACGTGGCTTAGTAGCAACAAAATAAGCTTTTTTAATTAAACCTCTGCAAATGTTCCGGGTTTCATCATCCGATCCTTATGAAAATGCAAAAGAACAGGGCTGTATTCGAGACAAAACAAATTACTTACGACTACACCACACAGGAAAATACGTATTCCATTCGAAAAAGTATCAAGGAAATAAGTGAAAAAGTATTTTATGGCGACCTTCGAGGTGAAAATGGCATATGCAGCAAATGGCTATCATATGAGGTCAATTAAAACAATAAAGTGCAGCAATTAAAGTAACTCCATAGCCTAGTCTATGAATGTATGTTCAGAAAACGTTAAAGTTAGGGCTAATTCTGATGTAGCAATGAGATAAAATAAGACAATTTGATAATTTTTAATGTAGAAACAAATATATCATCAACTAGCTGTAATAACTCTCTCCTTTCACAAACACAAAATAATGGAACGTAGTGATTTTTATACCACTAAATATTAACTGCAATATTTTGATAATAATGTAATTATTTCGGAAACAAATAAATAAAAGAAACCTGTTAGAACCACGAAGTACAGTTAGGGCCTGAGTGAAGAGAAGGCGGTTTACGAGTGTAAGAGTAGTATTCGTATTTTATAAACTAATGACTTACCCTCATTTCGCTCGGGTACTAGGTACGTGCAGATAGCGTTGCTATAGTTTAATAGGAATATCTTTTTTAAGAGGAATAATTCTGTCATACATTGGTTTTATATAACTTTAATAGTTAACGCGGCGCACGCTAATAAAGCTACCAGTCGGTATGATTTTTTCCGCCATCTTCAACAATTATCGTAATTCAGCCAATTTACACAAAACCTTAAAAGAATTTTGCACCTAAACCTTCCTTATGAATCATTCCATCTATTGGTGAAAACCGTATAAAAATCTGTTCGGTACTTTTTGAGTTTATCGCGTTCAGACAGACAGACAGTCATACATACAGACAGACGCGGCGGGGGGACTTTATTTTATATGTAGTGATTATTATCACAACATTTCTATACTTGGAGTAATCTCCAATATTTCAGTCTGTAATCTACATATAAAGAATTGAAATATTAAAAATTGCTTCGAAGTAACAAATCTTTTTTTTTCCGAAAAAAATAGTACCTATGTGAATCCTTTATGTTTTTTTTTTAATTTTTATTCTTCAACTGATGTTTCAGAGTCAGGACATCTTCCTTGGCTCTGCAAATTCCGAAAATGGCCCAAGACAGAGAGGGTAGAAGATCTGTTCAGTCTAGCCGTGAACAAACAAAAATTTAGGATACCCGACTGATGGGCGACTTACAATTATTGAAGAAGAATTCTTCAACGATTTTAAAATAACAGCTCGTCTAAGCCGCCTTTTCCATCGCCGGGGGCTGTAAATCTTTGACCACAGTTGTCAAATAAGTAAAGTGAGTTACTTTTTTGTTTATGGGCCGATAGTATCTCATTAATGGTTGCCTGTTGCTAGTAATCGCGTTAAACGCCGCGTTAATAGACATTCATTGCAGTATTTTAAGCTTTTATTATTCGTATAGTTAGGGTGTGTCAGAGTTCGGATTTCCGACCGAGCTTTTAAGTTATTAATGGAACCAGCTCGATTGCTAATTGCCGTTTGATGTTATTTATTTTAGGAATAAATGTTATACGATGATATCGAAAAGTTAAACATGTAGCTTTACTTAAAGAAATCGATACCATTTATCGATAAATTCGTTTTTATTTATGTTACGGACGCTCTCTGATTAAGCGATTTCTGTTGGCGTAATCGCGTTTAATAGCGTGTTAACTGAGTATCGTTAAAGAGGATTTTTAAGTTAACGATGTTTTTGTAGCGCTAAACTGGAAGTTTTTGTCGATGCGGATATCCGGGCCGTCGTTACTTGTTAAGCGGATGTATTAAGGCTATTTATAGTTGTTTTGTAAGGAACATCGACAGTTGCTTCCTATTTCTAACAGTAAGCTGACACATTTTAGACTGCCTCCTTAAGCATAGAGTATGTACTACTTGTTGCAATAATTATAAATAAAATATAAATTTTTATATCCTAATTAGAACAACAATAGAACCATTAACCAACGAAATAGCTTAGTCGAATGTTAACCGACTAAGCAACTTCGAAGTGAATAAATTGCCTCAGCATGATTGTCTATACAGTGAAAATAATTTCATGTCGCGTCAATTTAAAAAACAATTGAACGTTAAGGTAAAAGAATATTAAATTGCCACTTTATCTATTTGTGCCTTTATCCGCGAGAGAAAATTGGAAAAATTACAATTTTGCTCACGTATTATTGTATAACCGATGGAGATCCGTTCTACTAATCTAAGCGTGGTGACAGCTTATATAATGTATTTATACACTATATGCACGACACTGAAAAACTTATCAAATATTTAATAAAACAATAAAAGCAAAAACACAAAAATAATGAAAACACGAATTTTCCTTGTGTGGTAGACAAAGACGCGGCATTTGGCATTTAAGGAACGTGAGTTCGTACCATCTGAATGAAACTCTACATGTTAACCACAAACATCTCTACGGTAAATATAAAACATTCACCCCGCGCGTTTTAAGCGTATGTCTGCAAGCCGCGCTGGTCAGAGAAATACTAGACTATCACACCATTACTTCTTTTTATTCTTTAATGTTTTTTATCTATTTAGACATTTTTTGGAAAATCTTATTGAAAGAGTCATTATTATCGATACAGAAGACGAACATACAGGGTAAATAAATTAGGTCTTTGTTTTTATTGGTTTTTAAAGGGAAAACTAATAAACTAAACTACAACGACCATAGTAAAAAGAAATACGAAATATCACATATTTTAGAAAAAGGAAATAAAAAGCCCGAATATAAAAACACTATAAAGTTCTCTCACACAAGCCCGACTCGCACTTAACTATCTTTTATATAACAGTGACAGAGACACGATACACGACCCTCATCAACTACTTAAAAAAAAAAAAAAAAAATACTTCACACAAATTCTATGAAGATAGATTTCATCCTTTAATAAAGCCCAATAACAGTAAAATATCAAACATGCGAACTGTTTATTCAAAATCCGCTTAACAGTGTACCACATAAAATATTAGTATACAAATATAACACGTACATTTTTAACGATCTCGCAACTGAGGCTCGTTCGAGATGAAAAATTAATTAAAAACCGCACAATTCCGTAAGCGTCTTGTTTGAGTGCGAAATAAGCGCTAATCCTTAGCTTTGCTTTATATGAATTTTAATTACACTTACATTAAATTAACTAAATTTTTACATTAAATTATTTTAATTTCTTTATATATATTATCATTATACTATAACTATATGAACATATTTCAAATATTTTTCTTTTTAAATATCTAATAGAATATGAAGTTAAGCTTTATTCAATTTGACTTATCCAAGAACTTTTTAATCAATTTAAAAAGAATCAATTACGTTGGATGGAAGCTTCCACCAGGCTGAGACAAGTCTAGCTTAAGAGAGCCGACTAGAAACTCAAAAGTTGCTGTTTTATAAATATTAGTTACACACGGTAATAAATTTTTTTTGTTTAAGACCAATCTATTATAATTTTTGAAGATCTCGACATTTTTCTAGCGATTAAAACGTCTTGAAAAAGTCTTGCCTATAAAAAATATAATATAAAAAAGGGTGCTCATAAATAAAATACGACAGGTATTAAATAAATATTGGTGCGAATGTATTCGAAGTGGATTCGTAGCGATTGGTCGACTTAAGCGCTCGTAGACGTGCTACGAATGCTACAGGCTACGGCCACGGACTACGAGTCTTAATATAATGAGAGTATATTTTATTACGAGCGAAGAAAAACTTTTCACGAAAAATTAAATGAAAAAATAGTCCACTGTAACTTATATCTCGTTGAAGGCTTTTTACGAGACTTTCAAATTTAATAAGTTAGCTATATATAATACTACTACTTCTTGAAATAGGACCATCTAATACAATCTTTGCCTTTTAAATTTTGCTTATGGATAGCACTACAGGAGTGTACATACATATTTAATATACAACATACATTAAAACACTGTATGCCTTTTTATCTAAAATAACTGTGGCGTATTTTTTTTCGTGTAAAAATTGATATAATTAATAATATGAAACTATTCATATTGCAAATATATGAGATATAAATAGTTATTAGCCAGCGTTAGCCATATAAGTTTTAATTATTTTTTTCGTTAATGTTTCTGATGTTTTAATACTTATTATCCTAATCCGGACTAAGAGAAATTTAAAAATTCAAATATCATAAAAATTGGTCCAGCGGTTCTTGAGTTTTATGTCACGTCACACAGGAACGCGGTCGAACGGGATAAAAAGTATCCTATGTCCGTCTCCTGGTTCTAAGCTACCCACCAATTTTCCACCAATTTTCAGCCAAATTGGTTTAGCCGTTCTTGAGTTATAAATAGTGTAACTAACATGACTTTCTTTTATATATATATATATATATATATATTTATATATATATAAAAGAAAGTATATATATAAAGATTAAATGATTTTACAGATTATTCTAATAGTATAAGGTTAATAATGGGATTGTATCAGCCACGAATTAAAAAGTTTTCAATTCATTTATGCTAACCCATTTTTCATTGAGCCACATAAACTCGGTTTATGTAAGTAATATCACTGTTATTGACATTTAAAACTTTGAAGGCAAAC